GATGTTTCTAACTATCTATCCCTCTCTTTTCCTCTCTGTAAAAATCAATAAAATATATTTTAAAATTTTTTTTGCAACACACTGGTTGAAAATTGCTGTTCTATTTAGCTGTATGAACTTGGATGGCTCATTTAACCTGTTAGGACTTTACTTTCCTCAGTAAAATGGTAATCACACTAATCTCAGAGATTTTTGTGGTTTATTTAATCCCTAAATAAGCAAAGTACCTTGTGCATAGCAGGCATCCTAATGTTGGTTATTCTTATTAAGGGCTAAATAAGTAGGTGAAAATTGCCCTTGAAGTTCAGATGAGAGAGCCATGAAACCAGGTAGCTTTTCTGTCTCAGTAAAGTCCTTAAGATTTGTGGACTCTATATTGAAGGCAGCAGCATTTTTTTTCTTGCATTTTATTTTATAGAATAACAGCTATCTATTATTGCAATTGTAATGTCTCCATCTTTTAGATGAGGAACTGAGGCTTAGAGAGGGGGAAAAATAGCCTGTTTAAGGTCAGATAGCTAGGAAATGGTATAATATCTTAAATCAAGCCACATACCATTTTCAATTTCCCAGTGTCTTTTGTCAGCTGTGTCCTCTGTGACCTCCCTTTTCTTTGCCTATTTCCATTGTGAGGGAAGGAAAGTTTGGTCCCTAAGCTTAGTACTCTAGCTGAGTATGTTTTGTGCTATAGAGCAGGTGGCCATTTGAGCACAGGCACTGTGGAGTAGCATAAGTAGTAATGGCAGTAGCCCCTCCTGGAACTTTACAGTTGTGCATTGATTTGCTTTTAGGTGGGTGGCTGATGTAGTCACTGCCAACCCTGTAATAGGATCTCAATAGGCTTCAGGTGTTTGGGCATTGACACAGTTTTGCAAATAATTCCTCATACACTTTTCCTCTTGAAGCTTCAGTCTTGCTTTCTGACCCTGTTCTGGGCTTCTGAAGTGACTGATTCTGTCACTTATTTGTTTAATCAGATGCATTGGGTATATAGGGAGTAGGTGCTCTAGGCTTCAGAATTGACTTTATCTCCCCTTTCCTCCACAGACCTCAGATATAGGCAGCCTCCACATAAGAAAGAGAGGCAAAAGGGGGGCTCTTTCTTACATCCAAGTACTTCTGATAATTAGGAAAGATTTTCTCAGAGGCAAATCTCTCCCCCTCACTGGGTCCCAATTTTCCAGTTTGTGCTGCTTGAACCCTGTAGTGCACCAGAGTCTCTTTGAGGGATTTGTATTGTGGGGCTGAATATAATCCACAACCCATGTCTTAAAACGGAAACCCTACTCCCTATAGTATGTGTCAGAATCTAGGAGGTACACATTGCTGTAGGGTGAATGGGATTTAGTATCTGGCTAGATGAGCTGGCAGTCTGGAGTCAAAGGGAGCCAAGAAAGATTTTTTTTCCCCTCAGGGATGGAGCCACTTCTTAGAGTAGAAGGATAGGATCCTAATTATGGATATTATTCCTGGAACCAGAATCTAGAGATGCTCTCCCACTAGAAAATGAGGTTTCTCTTTCCTCTGGAGTTGACATCTCACCTGAAAACAAGCAAAGCTTGGCCTCATTTCCAAGTCTTGAGATTTCCTTATAGCCTTCAAAGGGTGATCTGTTTTATACTTTTGTTATTTTTTTTTAGCCTCAATTCTGATTTAAGACCATATTTCCTTCCCTTCTTCCCCTCCCAACTCCCGCACACACACACCTTACCGCCTCACTTTGAGACATCAGTAGGCTGAGAGACATTGCTCATCTCTTCAAGTGCTGGAGCCTAAAGAAGTAGAAAATGTTTATACATCTCATTTCTCTGTGTTCATAAGGGAAGACACTGCTTACAGAGATTAAAAATTCTCTACTGATTCTGAAATCTATTTTTATAGCACTTAATTATTACTTTGTCCAACTTTTTCTCAGAGATACTGCAGATCCTGGATCTATTTTGGCACCCACAATCTGCCTCTCATCACACTTTTACCCATCTCACTAGTGAACCAGACAACCTGGTGCAAAAAAAGACTAAAAAGTTCACTCCTGGGACCGCTGGGACTGGCTGTATAGTCTGTAACTGCTGAACTCCCGTTTAATTCTGGGGTCTCTGAGACTCTACAATGGGGCTATTGATACAGGCAAAGGCCAGTTGCTGCTCTACCAGCTCCGTTTGAAGTTTTCTCTACCACCCCTCCACCCCCACCCCCAACCCCTCCACCACCACCACCACCCCCCCACACACACACACACACACATCTAGTATCCTAGCCCTGATCTTCAGCATCTTTGGTAGGTTTCTTTTTCTCCTGGGGCTGAATTGTTCCTTGGAACTTACTTCTCACTGATTGTATCTTCTGCAACCACGTGGAAAATAATTAGAATTGTTAATTGATCCCTATTATACCTAGGGTGAGATAAGAGGTGCTTTAAACAATATTTCCTGTCCACACACTATCCCTCTATCCTCTGGAAAAAAAAAAAAAAGCCAATGTCACATTTCAACATGAACATTTTGTATTCTCCACCTAAAACCCGGTGGCAATTCTTACTGCTTATTGACTTAGACTCACCTTGCCATTGAATCCCGGAAGTCTTTTGATCTTGCCTTATACCCTTACCCCCAACTTATATTTTCTAAACGTGCTCCTAGTTACATAAGGATAAATAGGATTGCATTTCTTAGTCATTTATGAAAACCTAATTAATAGAATGATAAAGCTCAAGAGAAGAAAGAGCCCATTTAAGCAACACAACTTATTGTAGATGAGGAAGCAGGATCGATTGAGAAGCTGAGGCTAGAGAAGGAAATGTGCTGCCTTGAGATCACACAGCAAAGTGGAGACAGAAGAGAGATTTTCAGATTTTCTGACACTTGTTTTAATATATGAAAAGTAAGACCATCAACTTTCACTGCCCCAGTGAGCAGTGAAGGCTGATGACATGGGAATGTGGCTTCTCTCCAAAGTGGTTGTTGACTGAGCCTGATGGGAAAGCTGGAAACCATATCTATACACAGAGATGGTCAAATTTCATTATCTGGCTGGGATGTATGGATTAAAAGAGCAACAAAGTAATTACTCACTTGCAAACCCTAGGGATCTCAAGTTCCTGTGAGCCTTTGGCATTAAAAGAAAGCATAGTAGAGCCCAGCAGTGTTGCTCAGTGGTTGAATGTCGACCTATAAACAAGGAGGTAAAGGTTCCATTCCCTGTTGGAGCGCAGGCCCAGGTTTCAGGCTTGATCCCCAGTAGGGGGCATGTAGGAGGTACTGATCAATGATTCTCTCTTCATCATTGATGTTTCTATATCTCTCCCTTTATCCCTTCTTCTCTAAAATTAATAAAAACATATTTTTAAAAAAAGAAAAAGCATAGTAGAATGGGTAGAGGTTTTGGAGTCATACACATCAGGATTCTAGTCTAGGCTCTACAGTTTTAGAAAGATTGCCTCTCTAAACCTTAGCTTCTTGCCGAAACCGGTTTGGCTCAGTGGTAGAGCGTCTGTCTGCGGACTGAAAGAGCCCAGGTTTGATTCTGGTCAGGGGCATGTACGTTGGTTGCGGGCACATCCCCAGTAGGGTGTGTGCAAGAGGCAGCTGATCGATGTTTCTCTCTCATCGACATTTCTAGCTCTCTATCTCTCTCCCTTCCTCTCTGTAAAAAAATCAATAAAATATATATTTAAAAATAAATAAACTTTAGCTTCTTCATTTATAAAATGGAGATAATAGGTTTTTCAGTGGCATATAATAGGTACTTAATACATATGAGCTACTTTTTTCTTGGGGCCTCTGACGCTCTAAATTGTAAGCTCTGAGAGTGACCAGGGGACATGGCTTTGGAGGCATAGTAGAAACTTTGTGGATACAGTGGAGGTATATGTGTGTTTTGAGGGGAGATAGTGATTTATGCACGGGGAAGGACATCAGTAATACTGTGTCCTTGTTTCCTATTTCTGTTGCCAAGTAAGTTTCTTCATCTCACCCCTTTACTGCCTTCAACCCTCCCTCTGACCTTGCCAAAAAAAGAAGAGAGAGAGAAAAAGGAGACTGCCTGATGCCAGCAAGACCTCATTAGGATGTGGCTAGGTTTCATTACCTTCACCCCCAGTGATAGGCATACTGGTGTGCAACTGCCTGCCAGAACCATTAACATGCTAATGTCAGGGACTTGAAAACATACCCAACCTGTCTTCTCCTGGCTGACTTTCCTTTCCTTCCCACTGCTCAGCCAAGGGGCCCAGAACATCAGGGGGCTACTCAGCTACTATACTGAAGTACTCACCCTGTTTCCACCCTCATTCCCACGGTGTGAATGGTAATGTAAATCATGGGTGGGCTCTAATCAGGGCTGTAAAGAGGCATCTTAGCTCCCAGACACAGCACAGCTTTGGATGTATATATATCACAGTCCCTGCTTTGTCTCCTCAAGCTTTCTTTCTTAGGGCATTGTAAATAAGACTCAGTCTGAAGGGTGTGGGCATTATTCCTAGTTGCTAAGGATAAAAGAGCAACTCAGGAAAACAAGATGCAGGAATGAAGCCAACAATCTCTACCTTCAGTTTTTAATCCATCATGGGGGTGGAAAGCTGCATGGCGTAATAGAGGGAGGGAATAACAGAAAGCACTAGAATTGAATAGGTTTGGAGTCAAACAGACCTGACTCTGCTACTGACTAACTGAACCTTTACTTTTCTGAACTTTACTTTCACTATTTGTAAAATGGGCCTAATTATAATTATATCAAAGGGCTCTTGGGAAAATTAAAGGGGATAATATATATAAAGTTATTGGAGTATGGTAGTGCTTATAAAAGATCCATTCCCTACCTCAGAAGTACTTTGGACAAACAGATGCTAACCTCACTTCTTGACTGTTGCTCAAGTGTATTTTCTTGCCAGACCCTGGGTACCTTATATTCTCTAAGGTACCAAATGAGTTCCACTTTTGTGTCCTCTGTGTCTGGTACAGGCTAGGCATTCAATCAGTGGTTGTTTGTGTTTTCTCTTCCAGGTGGTGAAAACTATTGGCCTGAGGGAAGTTTGGTTCTTTGGTCTGCAGTACCAGGACACTAAGGGTTTCTCCACTTGGCTGAAACTCAATAAGAAGGTAACTGCTTACCCCACTCTTGGGTTTGGAATTCATTCCTTTCCAGATCTTGCTCGGGGGCGGGGTGGGTAACATATGCTAGCTGGCAAATCCAGAACACCTAGGTCCCTGTTTTCCACTGGGAAGTCCATAGGATCAGAATAGGGGCAGAAGATTAAGCCAATGTAATCCTGTTCTGTTTCCACTATAATTTCTCATAGAAAGAATGGCCAGGGTCCAAGAAGGAAGGTGTCTTTCCCTTCCTACTGGAAGCTCTATCTTGAATTTTGACTTTTTCTAGATTTTAATCATTAGTGGTTCTTCAGGAGGAGATTGGTATCTTTTTGTTTGTTTGTTTTCAAAGTCAAGGTGGTTAGGAATTTGTTAAAAAGAGAGTCATATACTCTTGAACTGGAATTTCAAAGGTCTCATAACCTATCTTGTCTCTTTTCCAACCTGTCAACTGATGCCTTAACTACATATAGATGTTCTTTTTTCATTTTCTATCTCAATTGTTCTCCAAATGGGATGATCTGCTCTCTACCTCTTAGTAGCATATCTGCAGGAACATGGCAATTCTTCAACTCAATATCCTCAAACAGTCTGCCTTTATCCTTGGAGGTCTCCATTCTGTTCTGTGACTTGTCTAATTGTATCTAGGAGATAGATGCCTCAACTTTTGGCTGGCAGTGTTTTGTTTTCCCAAAGAGTGGAGAATTTTAAAATATATATATTTTATTGATTTTTCACAGAGAGGAAGAGAGAGGAATAGAGAGTTAGGAACATCAATGAGAGAATCATTGATCAGCTGCTTCTTACACACCCCCTACTAGGGATGTGCCCGCAACCAACATACATGCCCTTGACCGGAATCGAACCTGGGACCTCCCAGTCCGCAGGCTGATGCTCTATCCACTGAGCCAAACCGGTTTCGGCGAGAGAGGAGACTTTTTCTGGACAATTGTAGAACCCTTGGGAGCCAACTTCAGGCTTTAAAAGGCACCCTAATGTGTTCTCTTACCGAACAAATTCCCAGGCTTTATTCGTGTATCCTGGTCTTTAGTTTGCTAATTTATGGAGTTGGGAGAACCTTAAAAGAGGTGCTTTTTTAGGTATCCCCTTGGAATTTGCATGCAGTTGGATATATTGTCAGATGATGATGGCTTTGGGGCTTATAACCATCTTTTTAAAAAATAATTCTTTATTGTTGAAAGTATTGCATATGTCCCCTCTTTCTCCCATTGACTCCCTCCAGCCCACCCTCACACTCCCCCTGGCCATCTTTATTTCAAGTACCAGTCCCCATCAGAAAGCAATTGTGGACATGTAATTATGTCCCCAATGAAAATAATGTGTCTCTTTTCTGAATTACCAGGAGAGTTAGCCAGAGGGAAACTTTATGGCCTTTCAGTGTCTTCTCCCCACCCTACAGCCACTCCAGTCTATTTTTTGAGAATCCATAACTTCTTGCTGCTCCCAGGTGACTGCCCAGGATGTGCGGAAGGAAAGCCCCCTGCTCTTCAAGTTCCGGGCCAAGTTCTACCCTGAAGATGTATCTGAAGAACTGATCCAGGATATCACACAGCGCCTGTTCTTCCTGCAAGTAAAGGAGGGCATTCTCAATGATGATATTTATTGCCCACCTGAGACTGCTGTGCTGCTGGCCTCCTATGCTGTCCAGTCCAAGTATGGTGACTTCAATAAGGAAGTTCACAAGACTGGTTACTTGGCAGGGGACAAGTTGCTTCCACAGAGGTAAGGTTGTGTCTGGCTATCTGCCCTGGCCAGAGGGCCTGTGGCCTAAGACTGACCAATTCCTATTACACAGGGGCCGTCAGATCTGTTCTTCCCAACTAGGGTCTGTCTTAACACCATGACATTATGGTAGTCTGAGAGAGACATTTGCATATAACACCATACCCTGTTGTTTCTTGGGCTCTCAAAATAAAAAGATCCCCCTATTCCGTTTGCCTGATTACAGAACTTCATTACCCTGGAAACTGGTTCTTTTATTGAGAACCAGAGATGGATTGATTTCTATTGTCCCTGGTTCCATTTTTCTCAATCCTTTTCACTGATTTAAACCTCTTATATCAGGTTCATAGCGGGAGAGAGAGAGAACTATGCAAGCCAGGGATATGGTAGCTTAAACAGTCCTTTAATATTGATAACCAGTGTCCAGAGCTTTTTGCTTTCATAAACTTCAAAGTGGAATGATCTAAAAATGTATTGTGTTTGTTTTAGCATCACAACAATACACAAAATAAGTAAGGTAGGCATTATCCTTATTTCCTGGTTAAGGAAACAGGTGCAAAGGTACTTGCTCTGACTTGCTCAATATCTCACAGCTCATTTGAGGCAAAGCTGGACCTGGAATCCTAGTCTCTTGATTTTTAAACCCTGGATCCCCTCTCTCCCCCCACTGTATTCAATAACCATTTTCATAAGCTTTTTTGGATTGGAAAAAAGACTCCACCTTTGTGCTCAGCGACTTCATGAGTCGCTGCCATGATGTCGAAGATGGTATGTTTGAAACAAACTTTGTTTATGATCTAGTAGATCTGAGAGGTTGAGCCGGGTTTTTTTTTTTTTTTTCCAAAGCCATTTGGGCTCAGTTCTCTGTTCTAAAGCCACATGCTTTAATCTTATCCCTGAGCAATATTCTCACAAACACACTACTGGTTCCACAAGGATCTAGAAGAGAGTGTGCATGCCTCTGTGAGGCCCATCCCTACTTTTAACCCCACAAACCAGCACAGACTCTTGATACATTACCTCTCTGCTTGGGCCCCTTTACATCAAACCCTTAGGGAGATAAGTGGACTTTCCTTAACACCTGTAATTTTGGCTTTGTGCTTTAAACTACTCAATACCCATTTTCTTTCCAGAGTCCTGGAGCAACACAAACTCAACAAGGAACAGTGGGAGGAACGGATCCAGGTGTGGCATGAGGAACATCGGGGCATGCTCAGGTAAGCCTGACCTAGCAACTGTGAGCTTCCACTGCCCCTGCAAGGAGAATGGCTCTGGGGGCATAAGAGGCAGAGAATTGGGGGAACACAAGAGGATGTTGGAGAGAGAAAGAGAGAGATTGAAAGAGAGAAATACAGTATACAGGGTTATTTAGAAATAGAAGGCTAATCAGAACCAATATAAAGCTATAGTATAAAGCTATATTATTCTGTGAATGATAGCAATGGATAGCCCAAGTAGTTTTGACCATAATGAAATGGAGGGGCCCTTAGGGTTCTTAGGGAACATGTGGGCCACCAGGGCTCCTCCCCAAGAAAGAAGCAGAATAAGTTCTTTCATGGCAAACCACTTGTGGGCTCTCTAGTTGAACAAATTTTGTTGTTTTGCCATCAGCATTCCATCTGGGCTCTGCTAAGAACATGCCTGTAAAAGAGGCTTCTATGGCAGCTAACATGCTAGGAAATAGCAAGGTTCAGCCTACCCTTATTTCCCTTGGGAACTTCAGACCTCAGGCTTTATGTTGTGCTCTATTTACCATCATCTGCTTACCTTCCATCCCCTTTTGCATCCCTGTTGGCAAGATACTTGTCAGAAATGCAGAGCAGATAAGCTTTCTCTCTCCATAGGCCTGATTCACAGGCTTCCCTCTGTAACCTCCCACTCTGTTGTTTAGGGAGGATGCTGTCCTGGAGTATCTGAAGATTGCCCAGGACCTGGAGATGTATGGTGTGAACTACTTCAGCATCAAAAACAAGAAAGGCTCAGAGCTGTGGCTGGGAGTGGATGCTCTGGGTCTCAACATCTATGAGCAGAATGACAGGTATACCTCAGAAGTCTCTTAGATTATTTGGGCCACTCTGGCATTTAGCAATTACCAGAGAGTAAGACTGTATCTCCTAGGTCCCACCTTGATAGTTCCTTTTCTACCTAGTTTAGACCAGCCCAGATAATTGCATAAACTCCCTCGGGCCTTTAAATCTTATATTGACTAGACTTGCATTATCTACTATGAGTACATGTGGCTACTGAGCATTTGAAATGTGGCTACTCTGAATCGAGATGTGCTGTAAGCATAAACTACACACCAGACTTTGAAAACTTAGTATCAAAAGCAGAATGTAAATTGTCTCATTAATATTTTTTGAAATATTGCTTTGCATTTGTAAATGATAGTATTTTTTATATAATGAGTTAAATGAACTGTTATAACAGTTAATTTCACAGGTTTATTTTTACCTATTTTTAAGTGGCTACTAGAATATGTGGCTCTTATTATATTTCTGTTGGACAACACTGGCCTAGAATCTACTTTGTCAGGATTTATAATTAATCCAACTCCTGTATAATGAGTAAGTGCCTTTTGGCCTATAAATTCGCTTTCTACAACCTTATCTCATTTGCTTATTTTTTCCCCCTTTGGTCTGCTCTTGGTGAGGATGCAGATCGATAGATTATTGTTCCATGTAACTTCTGAATCTTGGATCTCATTATTTACTTTCTTCCCAACTTTTACAATCTGGATAGAAGAGTCCCAATTAAATAGGAGAGGAGGTTCTATTACAGGCCCATGTCACACAAAACATATAATAAAACAAATCTGAAAGATTGGGGCAAAGGGTAAGTTGGTTTTAGTATTGGGAGTTCCTTTGTGCAGTCTCAATGCTGACAAACTGACATGGTGGCATGTCATGACACTAGCTGAGCGGGCAATTAATCTATCTCCTGAAAGGAGAAATTGGTAAGGCACCAACCCTCTATGTCCTTCTTGTTTTGCCCTTGTTCTGATGTTCTTGGTCATTTCTACAGACTGACTCCCAAGATAGGCTTTCCTTGGAGTGAAATCAGGAACATCTCTTTCAATGACAAGAAATTTGTCATCAAGCCCATTGACAAAAAGGCCCCGGTAAGTGATTCCACCAACTGGCCAAAACACGTACTTGCCAATGGATAATGCTAGAAGTAATTATGTAATATAGTTTTATAGTTTCCTCCCCCTTTTCTGGTGTGTGTGTGTGTGTGTGTGTGTGTGTGTGTGTGTGTGTGTACAGAAGGCACAAAAGGAGGTTGGTGATGAAAAGGGATGTTGATGCCAAGAAATGGTTAGGAGGCATCCGGTGCCTTGTTCCACCCTGCTACCTATGTTTCAGGAGAAACATGGGTGAAGGAGAACCAAAGGCAGTCTAAGTGCTGCCTCTTAGACACTGTCTTCTGCTGCCCTGGGTCTCAGGGTAGAAACAAAGAGAATATCCTATCTTATCTTTTAAAGCCTCTAGGCCTAGAAAGTGGAAACTGTTCATATATAGGTGGCAAAAGTGGGTTTACAGTTGTTCATATGAAAAATAATACAATAATTATAAGAATTCAAGAATAAACTTTGTTTTGAGTACTCACAACTATAAACTACTTTTGCCCCACACTATACTTGATTTATCTTTAATTGTGGAGAAAGGGCAGAGCCAGGAGAAGAACAGATCCAAAGATGATCCTCCAAACTTGCTTTTTGGTTTAACTTTGCTGATGTCCTCTCAAGACTCCTCTCCAGCCTAGCTGTGGCTCAGTTGTTGAGCACCAACTTTTGTATCAAAAGGTCATCAGTTTGGTTTCTGGTCAGGGCACATGCCCAGGTAGCTGGCTTGATCCCCAGAGTGGGGCATGCAGGAAGCAGCCAATTGATGTTAGTGTTTCTCCCTCATAGATATTTTTCTCCCTCTCCCTACCTCTACCTTTCTGTCTCTCTAAAATTAATGAAGTCATATCTTAAAAAAAAAAAAAAAAACTTTCTCTCTCTCTGTGGACTGCTTCTCTTCTATCTTCATGGTTGGAGTAGTCCTGTGAATTCCTCTCTGTTGCCAGAATCCACATGGTCTCAGAGTTGTTTTCTGAAAATATACAAACATATTCTCGACCAAAAGTTAATAAAGGGACATTTTCTATAAATTTGACTTGGGATCCTTTTTCATTTTTTGCCCAAATGATTTTCCCCTGGCTTGTTTTGACACCATGTGTGTTTTTCATGGGTGTCTTGCTGATAGCATTACAATTAATTTTCTAAAGTACAAAAATGGTGAACAACATAGACTGATGAACAAGAATAGACCTAGAGATAGAAAGCCATGGATCAGACTGTTGGACCTCAAAGGGAGGGTGGGGATAAAAGGGAGAGATCAACCAAAGGACTTATGTGCACAAATATGAGCCTAACCAGTGGTCAAGGACAATAGGGAGGTGGGGGCATGAGTGGGGGGTGGGGGGTTGGAATGGGGGGTTGAGGACAAATATGTGATACCTTAATCAATAAAGAAATTAATTAAAAATAAACAAAACCTTCTCTTCAAAGCAACTCAAGAATAAAAAAGTGATTTAGGTCTAGTTATTTCTTTAATGTGCTTGCAAAACACATCTTACATACTCAGTTGCCTGTGACTAACAAGATTGGAAGGCTGGTGATTGGGAGTAGGGTAGGAAAACCATGCTGAGCCAGACACTCTCATGAGGCCTCAACTATTTTTCTTCAGCCTTGAAGTCTCTGAACTCATCCTGCTAGACACTTTATATACAATATATTGTCTCCCTAAACCCTCAGCAACACTATCTGGTAGATAGTAGCATAGCCATTTTATAACCGACAAAATTGAGGTCAGAGAGATGGAATGATTTGCCTAAGATCACACAGCCAAAAAGGGTAGAGCTGTGATTAATACCTAGATCAGTGGTTAGCAAACCACGGTTCATGAGCCACATGCGGCTCTTTGGCCCCTTGAGTGTGGCTTGGCGTTAGAACCACTTTTTCAAAATAGACTCTCCCAGGCTGAAAACCAACTTCTGTGCATGGGCCACGAAGTTTCAATCGCACTATACATGCGTGCCCGCACATGGCATTTTGTAGAAGAGCCACACTCAAGGGGCCAAAGAGCTGCATGTGGCTCACAAGGCGAGGTTTGCCGACTCCTGACTTAGATCATTTGACCTCTAAAGCTTGTGCCCCTTTCTCTGCATACTAAGCTATGTGAGATGGTAGCAGTTTAGGTTCAGTGACAAAGAACCTGTTGGTTAGCTCATCAGCTTGGTCCAGTGTTATTTGTGGTAACAAACACAAACTCACTGAATTTCTCTCTCTCTCTCTCTCTCTCTCTCTCTCTCTCTCTCTCTCTCTCTCTCTCTCTCTCTCTGTCTCTCTCTCTCTCTCTCTCTCTCTCTCTCTCTCTCTCTCTCTCATTTTTCTCTGTGTTTATTGCTGTTATGTACAACTTTCACCAGAAAAAGTAAGTAATAAAGCCAGATGAGTGCCAGGGTTTATTTAGAAAACAATAACAACCAAAACAATTGATGTTAAGGAGATTAATGTATTCATGTATGCATTTACAACCTGTTATTGAAAAAAAATACTTAAAGGGTTAGGTCTAGAATATGCTTTTAGAAGATAACAGAAATAATCCAGCCACCCATACATACTACACTCATCAGTGTACTTTGCAGGGATTATTGGGCCTCAAAAAGAAGCCACTGATAACCAAAAGCATTTCTAATTAGAAGATAAAATCAATTCCTGACTTAGAACTAGATTGAGGTTTTTTAGGATGCAAAGTTTGAAAGAAATTGTGGTTAGTTCAAAGAGCACTAATTTCAGAGTCAAGCCTCGGTTGTAATACTGGGTCTGCCACTAAACTGCCCTTTGACCCTGGGCAGGTAACATCACCAGTCTGATAACTAGCCTCACCATATTTAATATAACATTTAGTTAATTATCTTTCTAGTGCTTTTGGACTTAGAGAAGTTCACCTTTATCTAACCCTCCAAACTTTTTCTAATTTCTGGTCTCCCACTAGGACTTTGTCTTCTATGCTCCCCGGCTGCGGATTAATAAACGGATCTTGGCTCTGTGCATGGGGAACCACGAACTATACATGCGCCGTCGCAAGCCAGACACCATTGAGGTGCAGCAGATGAAGGCACAGGCCCGGGAGGAGAAGCACCAGAAGCAGATGGAGCGGTAAGTGATGGGACCAGGACCAGGGCAAAGAAACCTATCTAAGTTGCCAAGTCTGCCAAAAGCAGGACAGACATGAAGCCATCCTGCAACAGGGGGTGGGCCGAGAAAAGAGAGAGAGAGAGAGAGAGAGAGAGAGAGAGAGAGAGAGAGAGAGAGAGAGAGAGAGAGAGAGAGAGAATATGAGAGTGAGCTCTATTGTACAATGATGACACCCCCTCCAAGAAGCAGGCATCAGAAGCTTAGGATTTCAGAGACTCATAGGAAGGAGGGTCATCTCATAGTCCTCCATTATCTATGATCCTCATGCCATTGCTCTTCTAAGCAAATTCTGGGTTGTCCCAGGCTATTTGTCCAGTAAAGTGACAATGGCAGAAGGCTCTATATGCATTTAAACCTAGACTGTATAGGGTGTTGTTGTTGTTTTTAAATATATATTTTATTGATTTTTTTACAGAGAGGAAGAGAGAGGGATAGAGAATTAGAAACATCGATGAGAGAGAATCATTGATCAGCTGCCTCTTGCACACCCCCTATTGGGGATGTGCCCGCAACCAAGGTACTTGCCCTTGACAGGAATCGAACGCGGGACCCTTTAGTCTGCAGGCGGACGGTCTAACCACTGAGCCAAACCGGTTTCGGCTGTTATTTTAATGAAATTTGGTGGAGCTACCATCAGCATCAACTTGGGAACTTATTAGAAAGGCAGAATCTGAGACTTTATCCCATACCTATTGATTCAAAATCTACATCTTGAGATCCTAGGTAATCATTTCTCCAATGAAGATATGAAAATGGCCAATAGGCACATGAACATGAAAACATCTTTAGCCATTAGGGAATTGTAAATCAAAACCACAGTGAGGTACCACTTCATATTCACTAATAGAGATATAATAAAAACAAGTTAACAGCTGCTGACAAGGAAGTAGAGAAATTGGAACTCATATACATGGTTGGTGGGAATGTAAACTGGTTCAGCTTCTGTGAAAAGAGAGTTTGGTCATTTCTCAATAACTTAAACATAGAATTTCCATATAATCCCACAATTTCACTCCTATTAAAAATAATAAAAAAACAGTTTTTCAAACAACTACATGTAACCATGTTCATAGTAGTGTTATTTACACTAGCCATATAGTGAAAAAAACCCAAATGTCTATCAGTGCATTAATGGATAAATTATATATCCATAAAATGGAATATAATTCAGCCATACAAAGGTATGATGTATTGATTCAAACTATATATATAGATGAACCTCTAAAACATTATGCTAGGTGAAAGAAACCAAACACAAAAGTCACATTTTTCACAGAGGAGTTTTACCAAACATTCAAGGAAGAACTAAAACCTACACTCCTCTGACTATTCCAAAAAATTCAAGAGGAAGGAACACTTACAAACTCATTCTATAAAGCCAGTATCACCTTAATATCAAAACCAGATAAAGATAATACAATGAAAGAGAATTACAGGCCAATATCCCTCATGAACATAGATGTCAAAATCTTCAACAAAATTCTAGCAAATCGGATCCAGCAATACATCAGAAAGATCATACACCATGATCAAGTAGGATTTATCCCGGGGATGCAAGGTACAATATCCACAAAGCAATAAACATGATACATCACATAAACAAATTGAGAGATCAAAATCACATAATCATATCAATTGATGCAGAAAAAGTATTTGACAAAATCCAACATCCTTTCTTAATAAAAACTCTCAGAAAGATGGGAATAGAAGCATCATACCTCAACATAATAAAAGCCATATAAGACAAACTCACAGCCAACATCACACTCGATGGGCAAAAACTATAACCATTTCCCCTAAGAACAGGAACAAGACAGCGATGCCCACTCTCACCAATCCTGTTTGACATAGTACTGGAAGTACTAGCCATAGTAGTGATCAGAGAAGAAGAAGAAATAAAAGGCATCCAAATTGGAAAAGAAGAAGTAAGACTATCCTTATTCCCAGAAGACATGATACTGTACATAGGAAACCATACAATCCATCAAAAAATTACTAGACTTAATAAATGAATTCTGCAATGTAATAGAATACAAAATTAATGCCAAGAAATCTATGGCATTTCTATACACCAATAATGAACTTACAGAAAGAGACTAAAAGAGCAATCCCATTTACCATTGCATCAAAAAAGTTAAGATACCTAGGAATAAACTTAACTAAGGAGGTAAAACACCTATACGTGAAAAACTACAGATCACTGAAAAAAAAAAAAGATAGAGAAAGACATAAACAGATGGAAGAACATACCATGTTCATGTATTGGTAGAATCAACATCATCAAAATGTACATACTACCCAAAGCAATCTATAGATTCAATGCAATCCCCATTAAAATACCAACAGCATATTTCACAGACATATTATAGAATGAACTTTCTAAAAATCCATCTGAAATAAAAAAAGATCCTAAATAGCTGCAGCAATCCTCAGAAAGAAGAACAAAGAAGGTAGGATCTCAATAATAAATATCAAGCTGTATTACAAAGCCACTGTTCTCAAAACACCGGGTACTGGCACAAGAACAGACATGTAGATCAATGGAATAGAATAGAAAACCCAGAAATTTACCAAAACCATTATGCTTAATTAATATTTGGCATAGAAGGCAAGAACATACAATGGAGTCAAGATAGTCTCTTCAATAAATGGTGTTGGGAAAATTGGAAAATGTATTTTAAAAAAATGAAATTAGACCATAAACTTACACCATACACAAAAATAAACTCAAAATAGATAAAGGACTTAAACATATGATGGGAAATCATAAAAAATATTAGAGAAATCCACAGGCAGCAATATCTCAGACATATGCCAAAGCAATTTATTCACCTATATAGCTCTTAGGGCAATGGAAACTAAAGAGAAAATAAAAAATGGGACTACATCAAAATAAAGAGCTTTTGTATAGCAAAACAAATCATTTACAAAACAACAAGAAAGCCCACTGCATGGGAGAACATATTTGCCAATGTTATCACTGATAAGGGTTTAATCTCCAACATTTATAGGGAACTCATACAACTTAACAAAAGGAAGATAAACAACCCAATCAAAAAATGGGCAATGGACCTATCTAGATACTTTTCTAAAGAATACAGAAAGAAGGCCAAAAAACATAAAAACATGCTGAAAGTCACTAATCATCAGAGAGATGCAAATCAAAATGACAATGTGGTACCATGTCATACCTGTTGGAATGACTATCATGAACAAATGATAAGTGCTGGCAAGTATGCGGAAAAAAAGGAACCCTTGTGCACTGCTGGTGAGAATTCAAACTGGTGCAGCCACTGTGGAGAACAGTATGGAGTTTCTTCAAAAAAACTAAAAATGGAACTCCCATTTTACCCAGTGATCCCACTTCTAGGAATATAGCCCAAGAAACTAGAAACACCAATCAGAAAGGATATATGCACCCCTATGTTCATAGCAGCACAATTCACCATAGTTAAGATTTGGAAACAGCCTAAGTGTCCATCATAAGTCGATTAAAAAACTTGGTACATCTACACAATAGAATACTACGCTGCGGTTAAAAAAAAAAAAGTTCTTACCATTTGCAACAACATGGATGGAACTGGAGAGCATTGTGCTAAGTGAAATAAGCCAGTCAGAGAAATATAAATATCACACGATCTTACACATTTATAGAATGTAATGAACAACATAAACTGATGAACAAAAATAGATCCAGAGACAAATAAACATTGATCAGACTGTCAAACTTTAGAGGGAAGGTAGGGGAGGGTAGACTAAGGGGGAGAGATCAACCAAAGGACTTGTATGCATGCATATAAGCCTAACCAATGGACACAGACAACAGGGGGGTGAGGGCATGAGTGGAGGAAATGGGGGGGATAATAGGGGGATAAGTCACAGATGTAATAACTTAGTCAATAAAGAAATTTTTAAAAAGTCACTTTTTGTATGATTCAATTCATATGAAATATCCAAAATAATTAAATCTATAGACACAGAATGTAAGTGGTATTCAGGTTCTGGGGGAGGGGAAATGGGGAAAAACTACTTAATGGATATGGGTTTTTACTTTGGAGTGATGAGAATATTTTGGATCTAAATAGAAGTAATAATTATATACCATTATAAAAGTACTAAATGACACTGAATTGTTTGCTTTAAAATGATTCATTTTATTTTATGTTACTATCACCTTATTAAGTTATTTAAAAATTAACATCATAGGTGATTCTTATACATTTCATAAAGAAAGAACTTGGAACTTCAGGAGGCTTCTAACCCAGGAACTTCAGGAGGCTTCTAATCTTTTGAAAAATGACACCGCATATGAGAAGTTAAACACCACGGTTAACATTTATTCTTTTAAAAAGTGCTGACGCCCTTGCCAGTTTGGCTCAGTGGAAAGAGCCTTGGTCTGTAGACTGAAGGGTCCCAAGTTTGATTCTGATCAAAGCCACACCCCCAGGTTGTGGGCTTTAACCCTAGCAGGGGGCATGCCAGAGCCAGCTGAGTAGTGATTCTCTCTCATCATTGATGTTTCTATCTCTCTCTCTCCTGTCCCCTCTGAAATCAATATATATATATATATATATATATATATATATATATATATATATATATATATATATATAAATTGCTGAGATTGGACACTGTTTACAAAGCTGAATCTGGCAGAAATCTGCCCTCACTGACATCACAGTCTAGTAGGAGAAAAAGGAAAAATAGTATACATCTAACTGTTCAAAGTATAAATGTTATGTCAGTCATTCACTTGATAAATATTTACTGAGCAGTGGGGAAAATAGACAAAAATCCCTGCTTTCATGAATCTGTCATTCTAGTAGGAAGAAACAAAATAAGAAAATTATGCAGTATGTGAAATAGCAATATTGACCTTAAATAGATGGCTAGATATTTCTCCAGCAAAATGACTTTATTTGGGAAATACAAAGAATTGTAATTTAAGACATGGAGTTTATTGGTGAAGTATATGCAAGTCCAGAGAAACAAAGAGGAGGAACACTTTTGTTTTTTTGAAAAGGCTGTTCTAAACAAAGAGTCTATTAGAGGAAACTGAAAGTTAGAAGAATGAATTTTCATTAGCTGAGTTATGGCAGTCTCCCATTGGCTGAGCAATTACTGGGCCAGGAGGAATCCTTAATTCTTCCTTCTGAGGTAGTAAAGTAGTATCACTTCCTGTATGAGATGCAAGGTATGTCTCTTCCTATTAGAGTCAATAGTATACATTGAGTGACAAGTATTTGAGAGTTCTCTCTAGCCTCCTTACTTCATTTTAAATGAGGTTTCTGTTTATTAATTTTCATAGTAAGAAGTATTGAGGATAAAAATAATAGAGAGGAGGGGTGGGAAAAAGGATAATCCAAGTATTCTGAGGGCTCAGAGAAAGATAAGACATCTAGCGAAGGGAGAAAAAAGATGTCCTGGAACAGGGTTGGCGCAAGAAAAGAAAATATTTATTCTAGATTTGCAATAAATTCTGTTGGAAAGGAATCTAGAGTTGGGCTTCAGAGAACTGGCAGGGTCAGACCTGAGGACTGATGCCCTACCACAGAGTTCAGCACACTTGAAGCACAGTATCCTAGAACAGAACAAAACCTTATCTCCTTATAATTCCATGAGGTTGCCAAGGTAGAACTTAATAGGCCATTTTACATATAGGAGTATTGAGAACAAGTGTAAAGAAGTGACATGGTTAAGGTTAACCACTGGTTACCAAATAGTGGCAGAGCTGAAAGTTCAGGTTGGATCTCCTGAGCCTTGGACAAACTGATTGGGCCTTGAGTGCACTGGCCCATGAGGAACTACGTATGCTATAAAGATAAGGATGTGGAGATAAGGAAGAGTCATCCAAACTCAGTGTGTTAAATGGGAGGGGACTGAGGGTCCAGGGCCTGGGAATCTTGGGGATCTCAATGCATCCATGTTTAAGAGCCTCCTGTTTAATCCCTTCTTTCTCCTTTCCTAGTGCTCTGCTGGAAAATGAGAAGAAGAAGCGTGAGATGGCAGAAAAGGAGAAGGAAAAGATTGAACGAGAGAAGGAGGAACTAATGGAGAAGCTGAAGCAGATTGAGGAACAGACTAAGAAGGCTCAGCAAGGTGAGATTTGGTGACACCTTGGAGAGCTGGTTTTTCCAGAGCCTAACTCTATGATCTGGAGACCCTTCTGCCTGAGCTGCAGACTCAGGCCACATAATCCTTATATGGCTACAGAATTGATAAAACATGGGATAGGAAAAGAGTGTCCAGAGCTTTTTGCCACCTGTGCCCTAGTATGAAACATTTCTAAGAAAGAAGATAGGTGTCTCTTATCTCTGCACTCTTCACCTCCTTTCCCCCATTTTCTCTTCCAAGAACTGGAAGAACAGACCCGCAGGGCTCTGGAACTTGAACAGGAGCGGAAACGTGCCCAGAGTGAAGCTGAAAAACTGGCCAAAGAGCGTCAAGAAGCTGAAGAGGCTAAGCTGGCTCTCCTACAGGCTTCTCGGGACCAGAAGAAGACCCAGGAACAACTGGTAAAACTATAAAATGGGCTGGGATTGAAGGACCTGAGTTTTTTGTCCCTCTCTGACTACTGGCTCTTTCCAGCAGAGTCTCAAGCAAATAGTTCATTCAGAAGCAAGCTGAGAAGTCACTGGTGTGGACCAGATACCTTTGCAGCAGTCTTCCCTAACTAACCCTTACTTTTATTCTATTTTCTTAGCCCTTGGGGATCTGAGCTGATGAGTTGACAAAGGAAAGAGAGGAAGAAGTGAAGGGATTCCCATTTGACTACCTAATGTGTTACGACTTTCCCTTTTTCCTTATTTTCTTATTCCTCTTCCAAAAATCCCTATGGCATTACCCATATTGGAATATATGTTCAGATAAGGAAATTAGGGCTCAGAGAGGTTTAAGAGACTTCCCAAAGGTCTCACAGTTGTGATTAACGATGAGAACTCTTTTTGGCCTCTCTGAAGTGTTTGCTCCCTAAAATCATATGCAATACTATGTGCTTATACATTTTTCAGGAGGGGAAGGTGAGAATCAATACTTTACTAATAATTTTCAGGGTTCTGTGACTCAGAAGTTAACAATCTGTGACCCAAATTCCTTGATATATATTGTCCACACTGACATTTGCAGTGGGAATGCAGGAAACTAAGACCTACTTCTCATGGGGAAGCTTTCTCTAGATTTGCTCAAGGTGTGAAGGTATCACAAACTCAGTGTGTTAAATGGCCCAAGGTGTGAAGGCATACCCCTTGTTCAGATCACCTTGTGATACTAGAGTGTCTTTTCTATACTTGATCTGGGAAGAGTCTTAGTGGAGCCCTCAACATTCTAGGATAACAATAAAGGGTCTGCCACTTCAGGTAGTGACACAATGATTTCTAATGCACTGTGAGCAATACTGAGAGGGGGAGGGTTGAAGGATGGGAAGGACTGGAGAGCTGGAAAGGTGAGGAAGAGACAGATGATATCCTATTTGTTTTCAGGGGGTCTATACTCTAAGTTTGGAACTCTGATTTATAATGAAATGGTTTGAAGTTATTAGAGTGCTATAGTAGTTTGAGAATATGAGTGATCTTCTGGGATTCCTGGAGAAGGAGTGGTAAAAAGAGCCTCCAGGACAGCAAGCAAGTCCAGGTGGAGCAGCAGGTTCCTCATTGATTCCCCAGGAGAACTGGGGTTAAAGGGACCTGGGTCCTAAGACACAAGAAAGCCAAGCTCTCACAAGCTTCCAATTTATCCATAGGCCTTGGAAATGGCAGAGTTGACAGCTCGGATCTCCCAGCTGGAGATGGCCCGACAGAAGAAAGAGAGTGAGGCTGTAGAATGGCAGCAGAAGGTAAGACAGAGTGCCCAGAGCAAAGCATTATGGGAAGGGGTAACACATGCAGAGATTCCAGTTCCATAGATTCTTAAGTTTGGGTTCCTTCCCATTTCAAGCCTTCCTTGACAGAAGGCATTATGGGAGAAGGAGCTCAAGACTTTCTCAATTAACTTCCCAGAATTCTTCAATACTCTAGGGCCGTGGTAGGCAAACTGTGGCTTGCGAGCCACATGCAGCTCTTTGGCCCCTTGAGTGTGGCTCTTCCACAGAATACCATGGCTTGGGTGAGTCTATTTTTGAAGAAGTGGCATTAGAAGTTTCAGTTTAAAAAATTTGTCTCAAAAAAATTTCAATTGTTGTACTGTTGATATTTGGCTCTGTTGACTAATGAGTTTGCCAACCACTGCTATAGGGAAATTGATACAATAGCTCCTGTTATAGTTGAGGAAACTAAGGATCAAACAGACAAAATTACTTGGTCTACCTGATGCCTTCCTTCTGCTAGGCCATTTTAGGCATGCATAGGATGCTGTGAGTTAGCTTGTTCTGATTGCTTGTCCATCTCTCCCTCCATTATTGTACAGGCTCAGATGGTACAAGAAGACTTGGAGAAGACCCGTGCCGAGCTGAAGACTGCCATGAGTACTCCTCATGTGGCAGAGCCTGCTGAAAATGATCAGGATGAGCAGGATGAGAATGGGGCAGAGGCCAGTGCTGACCTGCGAGCTGATGCCATGGCCAAGGACCGCAGTGAGGAGGAACGTACCACTGAAGCAGAGAAGAATGAGCGTGTGCAGAAGCACCTGAAGGTATCTAAGCAGGGCCAAAGAGTCAAGGAGACTATGTATATTGATTTAGTAGCCAATGGTCTTCCCTAGATCTTAATGGCAGGAAGGTGTTTGGTAGGTGGAGCAGCCTGTCTCAAGGCTATATGGGAGCCTGAGCCTTTCTCAAGTAAGGGACTCAATGAGAGGTACCTCTTATTTATTTGTTTGTTTATTTATTTATAATCCTCACCTGAGGAGTGAGAATATATTTCCATTGATTTCTAGAGAGAATGTAAGGGAAGGGGGGTGTGGAGTGTCTTGCTTAGTGGTTAGAGCAGGTTCGATTCCTAGTTAAGGGCATGTACCTGGGTTTCTGATTCAATCCCTATCCCTGGTCAGGTGTGGGAGGCAATCAATTGATGTGACTCTCTCACATTGATATTTCTCTCTCTCTATCCCTTTCCACTCCCTCTCTTAAAAAAAAATCAATAAAAAAAATGTCCTCTGGTGAGGATTTAAAAAAGAAGGGAGGGGGAAGAGGGAGAGAAACATCAATTGGTTGTCTTCCACATGCACTGACTTGGGTTGGGGATTGAACCTGCAACCCAGGTGCATACACTTGATGATGAATCAAACCCATGACCTTCCAGTGCACAGGCTAAAGCTCTAACCACTGAGAAATGCCAGCCAGGGCCACCTCTTTATTTATTAATCAGAACCTGAGCTTCCTCAGTTTTTTTCTAATCCTCCACTTATACTCTGTTTACTTCTTGTATTTAAGAAGTACTAAATTAATTTTTTTTAAAAAAGAAGAAGTACTTAACCGACACAATTTCTACCTGAATCTTTGGTACATTATTCTACTCTCAGGGAATATTTATCATTAATTGCAATTGGTCCCCTAAGTGTGTGTGTGTGTGTGTGTGTGTGTGTGTGTGTGTGTTTTCCTTTTTATTCTTGCACCACTGCAATCCTAACAGGGCTAGAAAAGTCTCTCAAAAAATGTGTGTGTGTGTGTGTGTGTGTGTGTGTGTGTGTGTGTGTGTGTGTAAAAAGCGGGGACAAGGAGGGAAGGCAGGAGACAGGAGAGAGGGGGAAGGGAGATAGAGGAAGGGAGGAATGGGGAGAGAGGAGAAGGAAAGGGGAAAAACTGGTTAAATAAAGGGAGGTAAAATTAGAGGAAACCATTAACCTCTCATCCCATGCATCCTCATAGGCCCTTACTTCAGAGCTGGCCAATGCTCTCGATGAGTCCAAGAAGACAGCCAATGACATGATCCATGCTGAGAACATGCGACTGGGCCGAGACAAATACAAGACCCTGCGCCAGATCCGGCAGGGCAATACCAAGCAGCGCATAGATGAGTTTGAGTCCATGTAATGGCACCTAGCCTCTAGAGACCCCTCCTCCCTTCTTCCTTGCCCCCAGACTCCTATACTCTCACCTAACCCACACTGTGCTGGAGCCACTAACTAGAGCAGCCCTGGAGTCATGCTAAGTGTTCACTGTAGCCATGGAACAAACCCTAGTCCCTCAGCCCCATTTATTTCCCTGGGCAGAGAAATATAGCTCACCTTGGTGCCAATGGGACCTTCTTTTCCCTCTCTGTCCCATTCAATCTAAATTGCTAAAACAGACCACTTCTGCAGCTCAGAGGCACTTCCTACTTGATTTGGGAAACTTCCCAACATTTACTGTTGTTCTCTTAGTGTCAGTTGTTGAGTAGATTGAAAACTACTAGTAGCTCCCACCACTCCCTTCCTCTTCAGGATCCTATGATTTGATGAATTGGAGCATTACAGGGTTTTGGGAAGGAGACAGGGCCCTGGCTACATGCTCTATGATGTCAAGTGTCCATTACTTCTAGAGTTATTTAGACTTTATAATGATTAGAGGCTTTAAAGATGTTCAGTTATTCTCTCTACCTCCCAGATCGGGCCTGTTACAAACTCAGTCCCGATAAGCCTTGTCCTTCAATTCAGGGACTCAGTTTTTCCCTAGGTTGAGGTGGGGAAGACAGTGCCTTCAAGGGACTTTACTAACATCTTAAAAGGCTATTTGCCATTCTGTCCAGGCAAGGCTGGGTAGAAGATCCTTTCCCCAAGGTTATATGGGAGCCTAGGCTTGTTTCAAATTATCTCCATGGGCCCAAATATCCCTTATTATTCTGGGTTCCTCCTCCCTTCTTGGGATTTGCTTCTCCTCATTCAAATCCCCTCCTGTAGAACAGTAGGGTAGTTACCCAAAAACTCACCCAGTACTATCTAGGATTTGCCAGAGGGAGGAAATATTCACACCTGGCTTCCATATTTTCCCTGCCATATTTTCCCAAGCCACTTCTCTTACCAGGGCTACTTGGGCCACAGACCTTGGTATGGTGAGCCCTGGATGTTGATGCCAATTGGCTCAATTGGTGAGTGGATAGAAGAAGCTGAGTGTGGTAAGAGAAGTCCATGGCCTGGAACCCAGTTTACTTGACTCCATCATGTGCCTAATAGCCCTTCCTGTCACCTACCTCCAAGCTGGTGACTGGGACCTGCCTATGTTTAACAAATCTCTAACCCAGATCTTGCTACCAGCTGTGCTGTCCGTTAGAGGTGTCAACCAGAGAACTATTGGGGGCTCTGGCCTGGTCCCTTTCACAGTCCTACCCCTGACTCTCAGCTAGGAGTAGCCTCTTCCTTCTCTCTGTTGCATAAGTGTCCTTTTTTTTTTATTCTACCAGTATTATACATTCTAGTAGCATCTAACTCACTATTAATTCTGCATGTCTTGCTAATTAATCCTTTGAAGGTCGGAGCAGAGTCATTTTGGCCAAATTCCCTTACCACTCCTACACCTGGGAATCATATACTATATTATAAAAGAATATTTTTCCAGAAACATTAGTATAAGGGGCTTTCAGTATTAGTGATATCACCTGTTACTGTAGGTCATACAATCCTTCTTAAAGTACTTCACATTTGGTTTTATTGTTCCTTTTTTTCCTTCTCCTCAGAGTTTGGTCCACAAGGGGCATACTGTCCCTGCATGCAGTGTCCCTAGCCCAGAACCCATGGCTTTGATCCCTCCCCACTTTTCCTTACTTCCGCCTGACCTTGGGGAGTTTTATGTGCATTGCTGTGAATTATGTTGACACTTTCTTGGTAATATGCTGTAGATTGGCTAAATTTAAACCTGGAATTGTGGGGCACTCTAGCTGCCTTAAGATCAGTAACCCACCCCCAGAGAGGCTAGGGAGAAAAGTTAGATTTTGTATTCAGGTTTTTGGGTATGTATTTTTGAGGTTTTTAAAATTTGTTGTTTTTTTGTTTTGTTTTTTGTTTTTGGAGGGGTTTATGCTCAACCCATGTTCTATTTCATTGCCAATAAAATTTAGGAAGACTTCACTGTGACTTGATGTTTCTTTCTAGCATGAGTGGGTGATTATAAGACACTTCACTGTAATTTGCACTCTGTAGACCACAATCCCTGGTCTCATTTCATTCTCACTTCAGTTTTATGGGGAATGGATGTGACTATTCTCATTTTATTTTTTATTTTAAAAAATATATTTTATTGATTTTTCACAAAGAGGAAGAGAAAGGGATAGAGACTTTGAAACATCAATGAGAGAGAAACAGCCATTAGCTGCCTCCTGCACACCCTCCACTGGGGATGTGCCCACAACCAAGGTACATGCCCTTGACCGGAATCAAACCTGGGACCTTTCAGTCCACAGGTCGATGCTCTATCCACTGAGCCAAACCAGTTCTGGCTATCCTCATTTTATAGAGTAACTAATGGCCGTGAAGAAGTAGAATTACTGCCCAAGGGCACAGGACTGTCTGGCTTAGTAGCCTATATCCTTTTCACAGCTTCAGGCCAACTTTTCTTCTGTAGGTAGACCCTGCACATGGTCAATGTAATGTTCCTTGGGCTTGCTTTTGGGCTGTTTTGAGGGATGGTTTGTATCTCTGAACTACTATTCCTGTGGTCAAGTCCTGTCCTGCCTCCTTGTCAGCAAGGCCTCTAGGCTTGCCGACCTCCTACTACATTTATTGAAGTGCCAATGAAGGTCAAATAAATTGCCTTGAGCAAAAGATGGTGTAGAGTTGGGTATAAAGTGACAGTGGGTGGGTTGTTATGTATGTACAAAAACTGCTAGGCAGTATTTACGGTTTATAAAACATGTCAACTTTGTTGCCTATATATGGTTATCCTGATTTTGAAGGTGAGGAAATTGAGTCTCAGATAAGCCTTCCAGAACATTTTGAACCTGGCACACTCTCTCACCAGACCTTTTTGATGGGCCAGTACTTACAAGGAAAAGTGAATTACATGTTCTTTAAGTCTAAATTCCTTTTGTCTACAATAACCTTTTGAGGCAGAGGTTCCAAACTTGACTGCACATTAGAATCTTAAAGATTCAGAAGCCAGATCATTTCCTCAGATCAAGTTATAATTATGCTTCAGTATAGTATTTGATGGTTACAAGGTACAGAAAAACTTGGGACCCACTGCTCTGAACATAAGAATATTTTATCCCATTTTATAGATGGAGAAATTGAGGCCCAATAAGATGAATTAATTTGTCCAAGATTATAGAGATTAGAAATAGTAGAGTAAGGGGATGAACACGGGTAGTCTAGTTTATAAACCTGTGCTCCTAACCACTATGCTATATTTTCTCCCTACCATTCCCAACAGAGGATGGGCATGCACTGGGAATAGGATATAAGTCAATTTTGAGGCAAATAGAATTCTAAGGCTCTAGAACAGTGTTTCCCAAACTTTTTCGTAATGCTGAGTACCCCTGGTACTCATGAGAACATAGAATTAGGCACAGCTAAGCACGGTGCCGTGCATATTCCCACCAAACTCCGGTGCAACGGGTACCCCCACCAAACTCCTCCCATACCCCTGGAGGTAAACGTACCACACTTTGGGAAACACTGCTCTAGAACTTAAGTATAGGAGAGGGGATTAGGAATTTCTGCTATGATTGTCCCAACTTTGGATGTATTGTGTAATGAAGAAGCTTTAAGTCCCCTCTAACTTCAACCAGAAGATGTCTTTTGTATGCTTTATATGTGGGGCTATCTAGCTGTAATTAATTATTTTTCTAAAGAGGAGGACAGAGGGACTTTCTTCTTCCTGGAAGATGGATATGATAAGCAGGATATTGGCTTCACAAAGGTATCCATGTTCTAATTAATGAAACTTGTGAATACTTTACTTTATGTGACAAAAGGGACTTGGGGATGTGATTATGGATTTTAAGATAGGGAAATGATGCTGGATTATCCAAGTGGGCCCATTGCAATCACAGGAGTCCTTAAATGATGAGAGAGTGTCAGAATCAGGTTTGAAGATGCTATGCTGCTAGCTTTGAAGATGAAGGACAAGGACATAAGACAAGAATGCAAGTAGCCTTTATAAAGTGAGAAAAGCAAGGAAATAGATTCTCTTCTAGAAACTCCAGAAGGAACACAGTACTGCCAAAATCTTTGTTTAAGCTAAATTTAAGCCTAATTTGGACTTCTATCTGACCTCTAGGTAATAAATAAATTTGTGTTCTTTTAAGCCACTATAACATTGTTATCCACTTCTCAAAATCCTCCATTTTTGAAATGACAGGGTTATAAAGATGGAGAATAAGACAGGTTATGAGTAGTTAAGGAAAGGGGGTGAAGTGTGAAAAGTAGGTGTGGCTATAAGAAGAATATGAGGGATCCTTGTGGTGAAATTCTTATCTTGACTGTATCAATGTCAATATCTTGGTTGTTATATTGGAGTATAGTTTGCAAGATGTTACCATTGGGGGAAACTGAGTAAAAGGTACATGAGATCTATTATTTATTATAAATTCATGTGAATCTATAATGATCTAAAAATAAAATATATTTAATTAAAAAGGGAAAGGTGCTCCTGGATATATATCCACGAGCAATGAGTGCTTCTGTCCACCAAAGGAAATGTCAGTTATTTTTAGTAGTTCCAATCTGGGAACAAAAAAATAGCCGGAACCGGTTTGGCTCAGTGGATAGAACGTCGGCCTGCGGACTGAAGGGTCCCAGGTTTGATTCTGGTCAAAGGCATGTACCTTGGTTTTGGGCACATCCCCAGTAGCGGGTGTGCAAGAGGCAGCTAATGGATGTTTCTCTCTCATTGATGTTTCTAACTTTCTATCCCTCTCTCTTCCTCTCTGTGAAAAATCAATAAAATAAATATTAAAAAAATACCTATCAACTAACTAGAGAATGGACAAAACTACAGTATATTCATACAATGGTATATTTCTCAGCAATGGAAGTAAATTAACACATTAGATTGTACAAAAAAGGGCAAACACAAAAGAGAACATTGTATAATTATCGTTACATGGAATTCTAGAGCAG